CTGTGTTAAAACCTCAATTCCTGAGGTCTTATGTTAATGACTATAGGTTAATCCAACTATGGTGTCCAATTGGACTGGAGTAGGTGGTTGAGGTACAGTCCAGGACTGAATCTTGTTGGCCATAGACCACGCATGCCTATCTGCCTTCTGGTGCTCCATGCGAGCCTTACCTGACAGCCAATCCCAGGCCTACCTGTTTATGGACTGTGAATCCAATTGTACCTCCCTCCTTCACAAGCAGCAGTGAGCAGGGGCAGCAAGGGCGGCTGCCCTAGGAAAGGGAGGGTTTTCTGTCCCACCTGGAAGGTCCTACACAGGCTGAGCCTCTGGGATCTTGGCTGGCATTCAACCAGTGCACACACACATCTTGGACTCATGTGTGTGCCAAGGGGCACAACGAGCACGATGTTCCCTGGAGCTCTGAGGGTAGGCAGGCATCACTGCAGATATCCAAAACCCAGTGCTGTTTATTTAAATGACTACCTTTCCCTCAAATTAAATTTCCTTAGGTTCTTTGTGAAAAAATCAGTTGATATGTAGGTCAATTTCAAGCCTGTCTGCCCTTCTTTACCAGCCTATAATTCATTCTGGCTTCACTATTTTCTGAAATTTTTATAGTGAGACTTATAGCAAAATACTATTTCTACAAAACGGTTTTAACTATGCTTTGCTAAGTACAGTCTTTTTAAAAAGATTTATGTATTAATATTAGGCAGGCAGATTTATGTAAAGAAGGAAAGACAGAGAAAAAGATCTTCCATCCACTGGTTCACTCCCCAAGTGGCTGCAATGGCTAGAGCTGAGCTGAAGCCAGGAGCTTCTTCCTTGTCTCCCACGTGGATGTAGTGCCCCAAGGTTTTGGGCCATCCTTTCCTGCTTTCCAAGTCCATAAGCAGGAAGCTGGATGGGAATGGAGCAGCCAGGATGCGAACAAGCATCTATACTGAATCTCTGCACTTGTGAGGCGTGGATTTTGCCATTGAGCCATCATGCCATGTCCAGCTATGTAAAGTTTTAAATTTTATATTTATGGGCCCGGCGCGGTGGCGCAAGTGGTCAAGTCCTCGCCTTGCACGCCCGGGAGCCCATATGGGCGCCGGTTCTAATCCCGGCAGCCCCGCTTCCCTTCCAGCTCCCTGCCTGTGGCCTGGGAAAGCAGTCGAGGACGGCCCAAAGCTTTGGGACCCTGCACCCGTGAGGGATACCCGGGAGAGGCTCCTGGCTTCGGATCGGCATAGTATCGGCCATTGCGGCTCACTTGGGGAGTGAATCATCGGACGGAAGATCTTCCTCTCTGCCTCTCCTCTCTGTATATCCGCCTTTCCAATAAAAAAAATAATAAAAATAAATCTTTTTAAAAAAATAAAAATAAAAATAAATAAATTTTATGTTTATGTTTTATACATTTGAGTGACAGAAAGAAAGTATGAAAGACAGATCAGAGCTCTGCTATGTTGGTGCACTCTCCAAATACCCACAATGCCCGCTGCCTGGAGATAAGACCAAAGTCCAGAAATTGAATCCAGGTCCCCACATGGAAGCAGAGATCCAGCTACTTAAGCCATCACCTGCTGCTTCTCAGGGTGCCTTGGCAGAAAGCTGGAACCAGAAGCGGAGTTGGGTCTCTGACAAAGGATGTGGACCAAGAGACATCTTACCACTAGGTCAAATGTCAAGTTTTGTACTGTTTTTTAAAAATTGGAAGCCTATGCTGCCCAGCATGGTAGCCTAGTGGCCAAAGTCCTTTTGTTGCAAACATCGGGATCCCATATTGGAGACAGTTTGCATCCCAGCAGCCCCGCTTCCCATCCAGCTCCCTGCCTGTGGCCTGGGAAAGCAGTCAAGGATGGCCCAAATCCTTGGGACCCTGCACCCATGTGGGAGACCCGGAAGAAGCTCCTGGCTCTTGGCTTTGGATCAGTGCAGCTCTGGCTATTGTGGTCATTTGGGGAGTGAATCAACAGACAGAAGATCTTCCTCTCTGTCTCTCCTCTTCTCTGTATATCTGACTTCCCAATAAAAATAAATAAATCTTTTTTTTTTTAATTGGAAGCCTACAGGCTTTGAACAGGGATCATATTAGCTATGGTTCGGTGTAAAGGAAAACAAACAACTTACCAAATCTTCCACATCCCCACTCATCGATATTTTCTAGTTTCCAGAGTATAGATCTTGCACATACTTTTAAAAAATTCTACCTACTCTGGGTGATACTGTTAGAAATGTCTCTAGCTCTCTGTCTCTTTGACTGAAGCACAGTTCATGAATTTCCTACATGTTCATCTTTAGGGCTTATTTGTGCTTCATTCTGCCTCCTTCTCTCCTCTCTTTACGACCCAAAGGTCTTTTTTATCCCTTTACATTCCATAGCAAAGGACAGACACTAAGAAATTTTTACAGCAAATTCATCTCACATGTTCTCTTCCCTTAGCCTGGGCTAATCCCCTGGTCCTCAGACAGGAGCACAGGAATGTTTCTTCCAAATGCAAGATCTTTCCTTTGCTAAGCAGAGTTCAATAGATTCCCTCCTCCATCACACACCGGAAGTTTATCATTGACTGACATCCATTCAAGCTCTGTGCACATGTCAGTCGCTGTGTTAGAGAACTCGGATCTCGGGGCAGCTTGTTGTTCCTGGGTATGGGTGTGACCATTGCCAGGGAAAGCCCCAAAATTGGAAGCATGGCTGGACACATTATGTATGTCTGCTGTTTGATTGGCTGAGACCTCACAGCTACTGCGGAGCAGTTTTCAGGACTCATAGAGGCTCCCCAGCAAACCTCATCTAGCAGCACTTCCAAGCCACCGCCCTCCACACACACACACACACACACACACACACACTCACACTTCTCTTCCCCTCTGCTGCCTCCTTAGAAATCAATCAAGACCTTCCAATGTGGGGATTCTCATTGTTTGACACATCAGATCCATCCTTAGCCTTCCATCCCCACACTAGCCAACCTGAGCAACCAGGTAGGCACCTGTCAGCACCTTGGCCAGCACCCTGACTACTCCTGCCACTTGCTTTCTCATCCTCACTCCCTGGGTCTTGGGCTCCCCCATTCCCCTCTCCCCTGCCTCCAGGCCCTACACCTTCCCCTCCATCTTCACAAGGGTAGAGTACTGTCTCACTCCTGGAAAATACCATGCATGCCTCAGCTTCCCCTTCTGATCCAGTCCTTTCATGTCCTGCCCACTAATCTCGGAAGCCACCATTTTCACCTGTATTATTTCACCCATACCTATTTCTAATAAGACAAATCTTTTTACTAAACTAAAATCTAAAGAGTTTTGACTATTTCAATAATGTTATTTGTTTTATAGATTTTTTTTAAGATTTATTTATTTTTATTGGAAAGGCAGATTTACAGAGAGGAGGAGAGATCAGAAGAGATCGGGCGCGTTCAGGGTGGTATGGCCGTAGGCAGAAACAACAATCTAACGCCATGTCCACACCAGGAGGTCTCTGTGAAAACTCAAGAGGACAGAGTGCTTCCTGAACACGCACAGGTGCCTGGAGGGAGGCGGTGCAAGGAAGGGCATGGAAACTCCTGGCTCCTTCCCACATGCCTGGCCCTGAGCCCTCTTCTAACCAGCTGTCCATCGATATTCTTCCCTCGAAAGCAAATGCCTAAGACTTGGTGTTTCCCCGAGTTCTATGAGAGCCACACCAGTAAATTAACCAGACTGTCAAAAAATGTCTAACAAGAGCATCATGGGAACCTTTCCAGTCGATCTGAACTCAAGGTCACAACCCAAGGCCCGCAGCTGGTACCTATAGGATCGGGTGCTGTCCCCAAAGAGAATGTCAGGGTTGAACTGTGAGACACTCAGCCTCGTGTGGCAAAAAAATTGGTGTGTGCATGGGATACACGCACACACTCACACACACACATACATTCAAGGAAAGCAACCAGAAGTGAGTGTAGGGTAGAAAACAAGTTGGCTTCCTCTCAGCTTTTTACCCAGGCTTTTTGGTCTGTTCCCTAAAAAGTCCCACACGGCCTCCTCTGTCAGCCACTGGGCACTCCTGCTGCCGTGAGAATCTTGACCATCATGTTGCATCTTCTCTAGGTCAGTCCTCACCCCCTGACTTATACCCTGTCCTCTCCTGGGAGACTGAGCCCCACTGTCCCTGGCCCTACTTTCCAAATCCCCAGCCCTCTGCTTTCTGCTGGGCCTAGTCTAAGGGAGACATTCGTAAGAGTCAGGCAGATGAGGGGAGAAATGCACATTTCTTTTCTCCTCCCTCTTCTATGCTTTCGTGTGGCTGGGACAATGGTTGTTCTCCTTCTGTGGATACGTGGCCAAGCCAGCTCACTGCAAGGACGCCTCTGGACTTAGGGTCCTAGTGGGAGTTGAGAAGTCAAGATGCCTGTTGTCTGGGGGGAAGTGGGGATCCAGGCTTTGAGAGACCTGCGAGCTGAAGACTGGTGCTCCCACGAAACAAGCATGTAGTGTCAAAAAAAAGAAACAGGATTATCGGAAAGTTGCTCCCCCGTGGAGGTGCAGTTTCTCAACGCTAGCATCACCACCGACCGTACAGGTGGTGGCGCTGCTCCCTCCATGTTGAAGCCAGTCCAGCCGACCACAGCCCTCCCCTTTACACCCGCAACAGGCTGAGGCTGCGTACCAAACAAGGAACTGAATCCTGAGACCAGCGTCAAATAGGAACCCTTTAAAAAGCTACTCTAAATTTAGGGAATGCCAACAAGAATTCTGGAGTCTGAACCTGAGTTAGTCTAGAAAGCAAAAATAATCCTTAAAGAAAATTGGTGGATGCAAAATTTAATCGATTTTCCAAGACTTTTTAAGCAACACATTAAAAATTTTGTTTTAGTAGCATTAACTCCAGGCAGACATTGTGGTGTCGTGAGTTAAAAGCCAACATCTGCAACATCAGCATCTCATACAGACACAGGTTCCATTCCTAGCTCCTCTACTTCCAATCTAGTTCCTGCTAATGGCCTAGGAAAGCAGTGGAAGGTGGCCCAAGTCCTTGGGTCCCTACATGCATGTGGGGTACCCAGATGGAGTTGCAAACTCCTGGCTTCAGCCTGGCCCTGCCTGGGTCAGTGGGAGTTTTCTCTCCCTGTTACTCTCTGCCTTTCAAATAAATAAAAATAAGGCTTCAAAATATACATCCACTCATCTAAAAAGGACTATGCATTGAATTACGATTCAATATGTAATGATGCTTATTAAGTAAATGACATCCAACAGTGACATCAATCATTACTCATTATATAAATCTCGAGCTGCAAGCCACAGGCAGTTTCTCCCAGTCCATCCACCTGCCCCAGAGGGGCACAGCTGCCGGGGGGAGATTTCCAATACTTTAGGAAATATGTCAAGCTTGTGTATTTTATTTTAGTTCCCTGGGGCGGCTTTCCATACCGACAGCTGTAATCTGACTTCAGTTTGGTTGGTGTCAGCCTGGTTTTTCTACAACGCTACTCTGTAAGAGACAGGACCCCACCAAAGTCCTGATTGTGCGTGGGTTATACGTCGGATCATTGCAGCAAGTGGACAAGGAAGAGGAAATCAGCCAGACGAAGACAATGGAGCAGCTAGGAAAACTTCCCCAGGGAAGTGGCCAGCTTACCTTTGGGTGTCCTCCTGAATTTAGGAGTCTCTAACCCACCCTGTTTCCTCCTCTATTGGGGTCTTACTGCCACCTGCTGGTCTGGCCCAGAACAACTGCCTGTGCCATCTCCGGACGCTTTTGCTGCCCAAGTAGGGGAGCCACAAAATCTCTAACGCTCTGCGGGAAAACAGAGCTCGCTACCTACAAGGAATGAGTCCTGGGATCCGTGCATGCTTTCTTGGCTAACTGTATAGTACGGGACTGGAAGGGAGAAAGAAGCTTTCTTAGGGGTTTCCTCGCGGCACCTGGCTTACCCTAGCATGTGCACTGTGGGATGCAGGCTTTCCCCTACCAGGATCCCTTAGGATCCTATCTTCTTCCTTAAATCCTCTTCTGCTCAGCATCTAAAGGATTTATATGCTCAGCGTCAGAGTCCTTCCCTCCTCCTCTGGGTCCTAGTCGCTCATCTGGCTCTGAACTCCCCAGCTTAGCTTGTCCTGCAGGTTCACAGGAAGTGATTACTTCAGTCTAAACTCTCCATCTTCCTCCCAGATGGGTTTTCTCTTCTACCTTCTCTTCCACCATCACTCTCTGGCCATCTGCCTTGCCTTGCTCACACAGGCTGGACAGTTCTACAACTCACCATCTCCCTGCCTCTCACCTTCTCTCTCCCACACCTACCTCCATGTCTCTGCCATCCTCCTGGCTCTCATCTCTTCTCCAGCTTGGTGGTGGCAGCCCCACGCTATCTCCTCAGTGTCACTCCCAGGTCTTCAAGTTACAGGTCCATGGGCTATGTTCACATCAGTTCCTGTTTAGACTTTTTAAAAGATTTGTTTATTTTTATTGAAAAGGCCGATTTACAGAGAGAGGGAGAGATAGAGAGAAGGATCTTCCATCCACTGATTCATTCTTGAAATGATCACAGTGGCTGAAGCTGAGCAGAAGCCAGGAGCTTCCGGGTCTCCCATGCAGGTGCAGGGTCCCAAGGTTTTGGGCCGTCCTTCATTGCTTTCCCAGGCCACAAGCAAGGAGCTGGATGGGAAGTGGAGCAGCTAGAACATGAACCCATATTGGATTCCAGGATTTGCAAGAGGAAGATTAGCCAATTGAGCCATTACGCCAGGCCCCCAAGTTTCTCCTTTTAATGGAGTTGAACAGGTTACATGTTTTACTCTTTATGGCATGTGCTTTCGAGGTCTTACTTAATCATCTTTCTACACCCTGATGTCCTAAAAACTCCTACTTCGCTCTAAACACTTTTTTGTTTGACTGTTCATATTGAGGTTGACCACCCTCCTGGAGTTTATTCCTTTGTAAAATATGAGGCAGGAAACTAATGTAACGAACCAGCAGACAGAAGATCTTTCTGTCTATCTGCCTTTCCAGGAGACGCAGAAGGAGCAGGAATGGGCAGCATATCTCAGCCTAGTTTGGACGTCTCACAAGGACGGCTAGGGTTGGGGCTTCTCAAAGAGAGGCTGTGATAGAGGAACTTGCACAATCCCTCAGGATTTCACAGCCTTGGGTCAGGAAGGAAGTGACAGTCTCAGTGCTGGGTTACTCAGAAGCACTGGGTCCCAGACCCCGCCATCCGGTTGGATTCAGTTCCAGTAGCACTCCCTTCTTCTTGGCCCTGGAAGGAAGGGGACGGAGCAGGTGTCCAGAAAATCACAACCCCCCACCCCACCACTGCAAAGTCTGCCCATCACAGCCGTGGCCCCAGGCTCCAGTCCTTGCCTAGTTAGGACTCTGCTTGGCTTTGCTGCTCAGCCCTCTGCTCCCTCATCATTTGTAGCAGTCTTTGCCACTAGAAGGCACTCCAAGGCTGGCAAATGAGCTTAGCACCTCCTGAGCAGGTGGCAGGCATTCAGTCACTGGTCAGGAAATTCTGCCTGTGATTCCCAGGCACTTGGTCTCAGGCAGCGGGTCTGGGGACCTGGAGATTTGCTCCTCTTCACACTGGTGTATTCCACAGACAGGATGAGGTCTCGGGCGGGCTTCATGGTGCAGTAGATGTTGGCATAGAGGGGATCCTCAGGGCTTAAGTGAGTGAGTGAGGCGTAGTGGATGGCTTCTGTGAGCTCCTCATAGGTCGGCTGCTGATCAGCGCCCTAGAAATCAAGAAAGGCAGACACAAGCTGTGTGCTCACCTTCTAGGTGTCTATAGCTGGTAGAGGATGGGGTGAGAGATGCAATGTGGGACAAGGTGTCGAGTCTGCAAAGACTGTGGAAAGAGGTGATTCCCAAGGCAATAACATCACCATCACAGGCATGTCTAACAATGACCTGGGGTGTCTGGCACATCAGTGAAGACGCAGCCTGGGAATGCCCACAGTTCCTATGAATGCACCTGAGTTTGAGTCCCAGCTCCACTTCCAGTTCCAGACATCCTTTAACGCAGCAGAGGATGGCTCAAGTACTTGGTCCCTGTCACCTATATGGGAAACCCAGCTTGAGTTTTTTTGCTCCTGGCTTCCGTCGGGGCCCCATTCCTGGCTATTACACTTGGGGGAGTGAACCAGCAGATATAAGATCTATACTTGTCTCTGTCTCTTTCTTATTCTCCCTTTCAAGTAAAATGAATAAATGCATTTTAACATTAAAAATGAAAATATAATATACTAGGACTAAAAGCTTTGATACTCCTGGAAACTTGTTTGAAACATGGAATTGGGTTCCACCCCAGATCTAGTAAAACAATCTGGGGGGAGGGCAGCAAACTGTTTTCTTATTTTTAAAATAGATTTATTTATTTACTTTGAAAGGCAGAGTTACAGAGAGAGAGAGAGAGAGAGAGACCTTCCATGTTCTAGTTTACTCCCTAGATGACCTCAATGGCCAACACTCAGCCAGGTCAAAGTCAAGAATCAGGAGTTACATCCAGGTTTCCCATGTGGGTGCAGGCGCCCAAGAATTTGGGCCATTTCTACTCCTTTCCACAGGCCGTTAGAAGGGCGTTGCATCAAAAGTGGAGCAGCCCAGAAACAAACTGGCACCCAGATGGGATGCTAGCTTGGCAGGCAGCAGCTTGACCTGCTAAAGCACAAGGCCAGCCCTAGCCACCTGTCTGAATCAGCACTCTACACACTCTCAGGTGTGGGTTGCACTAAGTAAGGACATTTGATGGGCTCTGCATGGTAGCCTAGTGGCTAAAGTCCTCGCCTTGCACTTGCCAGGATCCCATATAGGTGCTGGTTCATATCCCAGCTCCACTTCCCATCCAACTCCCTGCTTGTGGCCTGGGAAAGCAGTCAAGGACAGCCCAAAGCCTTGGGACCCTGCACCTACATGGGAGACTCAGAAGAATCTCCTGGCTCCTGGCTTTGGATCAGCTCAACCCTGGTCATTGGCAACCACTTAGGGAGTGAATCAGTGGATGGCTCCTCTCTGCTCTTTGATATCTACCTTTCCCTTTAAGAGCATTTGACAGGGATGGTAGGTGATGATCCCAGCAGCCCCTCGTGAGCAGGTGGCAGAGTTGACTGGATGACTTTGGATCCTTTTCATCCTCTGGTTTTGTGATTTCCCGAATCTCAGCTTTTCACCCAAGGGAAACCATACAGCCCCAGGACTCACTGAACATGTCACTTGCCGTGTGATGTCTGTTCCCACCAGTGGACAAGACCCTCTGACTGGCCCATGACCTGTGAGATATGAAGCGCTGCCTGCTGTGGAAGTGCTGGTCTGGGGCTTGACCCACTAACTAACTCTCTCTCCCTCTCAGAACTGAACTGAGAAATGGGGAAAAGGAAGCACTCAGGCCACGAGGCAGCAGGGGCATGCTCAGTCAGCACTGTGTACCAAGGTCTAGAGCAGCTAGAGACAGTACGCAGAGGCTGGGAAGTCAGCAGAAAGCAGCAAGAGCGCATGCTCACAGCCAAGCTGTGATTCTCTGGGTCCCAGGGATGAGCCAGGCCTACTCACGGTGGGCTCCTTCAGCACTGAAAGGCTGCAGACATCCAGGGCTCCATCTTTACCTGCCAAGAACACAGAGTCAGCTTAGGGTGGAGGTCTCTGCCTCCAATGGAGATAAGGCAGACAAGTTAAGGTCCTGGCTGGGCAGAAGGTCCTGCTCCTGCTTGGGGACAGACCCAAGTGCCCCACATAGTGTCCTGGGAAGCTAGAGGTAAAGTAACAAACTGCCAAGGTTGGTTTGCATAAAATAAGAGAGCTTCATTCAAGGTGCCTGAAGGTCCCAAACTTAGACCTCCGATTCAAAGATCAACCTCCTTAGCCATACAGGAGTTATGCGTTTCAGTTTTGAAGCAGGACTCTTAAGGCAAAAAAACACAGCCGATGTTACGATTCCAAGTATTCTCACACCCGTGCATTCGCATGTATGCTCTAGAAATCGAACCTCAATAAAGAACGCACAAAGCATTTGTCTCTTCTACTTGGTTGCTCTACTAAAAGGTTATTGGGATCTACTAAATCTATTGGATGTCATTTGAAAAAAAAAATAGGTACACAAACTGTACAATCCCCTCCTCCTGGGGGTTTTGATTGCTTGAAAAATTAAAGCCTATGAGGTCCAGCATAATTATTTTTCATTCAACACATTTCAATCACGTTGTTGATTGAAACACCCTTAAGGCATATGGTTAACACACACACATAGGACACAGACACCAAGCCAAGGTCAGTAAGAATAAAAGTGAGAAAATATGTAGGATTCATCCACAGGGACTAACTGGGGCAGGCGCTTGGCACAGTGCTTAAGACACTGACTGGGACACCAGCGCCCCATAGGAAAGCGCCTGGTTCCAGTCCCAGCGCCTCTGCTTCTTCTCCAGCCTCCTGCTAATGTGCCCCTGGAAGCAGCAGGGGATGGCTCAAGGGCTTGGACTGCTGCCACAAAGGAGAGATGCAAACTGGGATCCAGGGCTTGTCAGCCTGGCTGCAAGAACCAACAAACAAGAATGCTCTGCCCGTCTCTCTCTTCTTGTCTCTTCCATTTGAATCAATTAGTAATTGTTGGAGAGACTGATCTGAAAAACCTTGTACAAAGTGCTATAGACTTCACACACGATTAATGCCAAAACTTAAAAAAAAAAACACCTTGAAAAAGTCCTTGAAGTGCTTTTAGGAGGACATTCTTTTGTTTTTTCTTGCTTAATTTTTAAATTGCACTGTGTATATTGAATGTGTATAACGTGATTTTGTAGGATTATGCAACCCTTTGGAGTAAGTGAACATAGTCCTCATCTCATCTGGTTCTCATTTCTCCTCTTGTGACAAAAGCAATTCTAACCTATTCGTTTAGCAAAGACCCTGAACACAGAACACTATCATCCACCTCATGTTGCAAGTTAGGCCCTTCTGCTTGTTCATCCTGCACATTTCCTGTTTTCTACTCTTTGACCTACAGCTCCCCGTGTTACCCCTGATACTTCAAGGCCTTCACATTTTTCTATGGCAGCAATGAGTAAAACAATACTGCTAGGGCTGGAATTGCAGTATAGTGAATTAAGCTGTTGGTTGCAGTGCCAGCATCCTGCAAGGGCACCAATCCAACTCCTGGTTGCTTTGTTTCCCATCCAGCACCCTGCTTGTGGCCTGGAAAAGCAGTTGAGGACGGCCCAAAGCCTTGGAACCTTGCACCCGTGTGGGAGACCTGGAAGGGCTCCTGGCTCCTGGCTTCAGATGGGCTCAGATTTGTCTGTTGCGGTTATTTGGGGAGTGAATCATCAGACAGATGATCTTCCTTTCTGTTTCTTTCCTCCTCTCTGTACATCTGACTTTCCAATTTAAAAAAAAATGAATAATGTTATAAAGAAAAGAAAGAAAGGCCTGAATTGAGCTCCAGGCTCCTGGCTCCACCTGGTCCAGTCCCAGCTGTTGTAGGCATGTGGGGAGCAAACCAGCAGATGGAATTTTGCTCTCCCCCTCCAAATAAACTATCCAAATGCAGAAATGAAAATACCATGAATTATACAAAGATATTGACAATAACAATATTATGTTTATCCTTTATGAATTTTAAAGTTTTAATTATGCTTTGAGAAGCAGAAAAGAAACACAAAGCAAGCAACATCTTCCATCAGCCAGTCCACTCCTCAAGTTCCCATAGAAGCCAGGGCAGGATCAAGCCCAAGCCGGGGTCCTGGAACTCAACCCACGTCTCCCACACGGGTGGCAGGAACCGAAGCCCTTGCGCCATCACCTGCCTCCTCCCAGGATGTGTGTTAGCAGAAAGCTGGAGCTGGGAGTGCAGCAGGGCTCAGCCCTAGGCACTGCAGTATGGCACACACACATTTTTATTGGTGTTTAAACTGCTAGACCAAACAGCCCTCTTTACATAATTTTTTCTTTAAATCCTCATTCAAAAATCAAAAATTATGGCAAAAATCCATAAGACTGTAAGTGGACAGCAGTGTACCTAGGTTTAGGCCCGTTTAACATTGAACTGAACTGACTTTGGGTGTGCTAAGCGCCAGCATCACAAGACAACTGGTCTACCTGTGGGAGCCAACCACACACACACACACACACACACACACACACACACACACACACACATACACACACACACACACACCCCATCTGCTGGGTAGAGGGGAAGAGAGCTCCCAGAACCCCAGAGCCTGGGTTTCCCACCCCCCAACTCCCGACTGAGTACCAAGTGGTCTGCTCAGAGCAAGGCAGGGGCTCACCTTTCCTGGTTCTTTTCTGCTTTTTTCTGAGACCCAGGACCACAAGGAGAGCCAGCAGCAGCAGCAGGACGGTCACCACCACACCCGACAGCACAGACTTCCCACTGTCAGGGGGCCTTGGGAAGAAGGGTCGGGCTGGTGGTGAGGACGGGTGGAGCCAGCCAGCATCACCTCCTGCCTGGAGAACCTTCCCTGCTGTGGTTGTCACTCTCACAGCCACAGACACCCACCCACAGACACCCCACCACAGCTTCCAGCCTCTCCCCAGAGCCTTGCCCCTCTCCCCGCCTGATCACCACGTGGCCACAGCGGCCGGTGCTGCCTTGGGCTAGTTTCCATTCTCTGGAAGATGACTATGCTGTGATATCACAAGTCTTCATGCCTTCCCTTTTCTGACTTCTGTCCCTTAACATCCATCCCTCCTGGGACTCCGTGACAGGGCTTGCAGTTACTCCTCGCCAGCACCCTTGTCCCAGCTCCTTCGTGCATCCCTGCTGTGGGCTGCAGGTGGTTCTCAGAGGAGTCACCATACTTCACTGCAGGTAAGAGGCACATTTCTGGCATTCTGTGTTAGGCAAAGGAAAAACACCCAGGGCGACATCCTGCCACCCTGTCACAAGCTCCTAGGGGACGTTTCTGGGGCATTTCAGTTGGGGGATCAGTTCTAGAGACACCTCTCAGCTCAGGCTACTGGCACCACTTAGCATCTGCTTAAAGGAACAATGGCATGCCAGAGGCGGAGTTTGTGATCTGAGATGAAGGTGAATGAAGAGGGGGAGGGCAAGAAAGAGATTGCCCTGCCCAGAGTCTGGGGCCTGGAAATGATTGGGCAGGTATGAAGAAGAAAGCTGGGCACACAGGAGGCAGGACCTACCAAGGGTGCCTACCAAGCTCTGCTGCTCTCACTGAGATGTAGCAGCCGGATGCTATGGCTCTAGGCTCTCTGAGCCCTCACAAACACCTTCCAAGCCTGAACGTCCACACGAGAGCGGCCTCATCCCAACGGTACCGGGAGACCCTTTGGGTCACCACACCCAGGTGTCAGCAGGAGGTTTATACACCTGACAAAGGCCAGGGATGCTGCCAAACATCCCAAAAAGCACGGACACTGTCCTTCAGCCAAGAACAATCTGAACAATCCAGATGATAACAGGCCAGAACAAACAGCCCCCTGTAAGGTGGGAACATCACTGCAGGTGCCAAAGCTAAGGTTCGTTCAGGCAAAGTGGCCAGTATGACCCTGTTTCATCCTGCACGAGCCAGGTACAGCAGTAGTGGGCGGTATCTGATCTTGATTGGCAGAGGGTACAATAAAAGAAAGGCTCGGGAACTGGAGGGTGTGCAACAGTACCTGGCATTGACAGGGCTGCTGGTAGAAGCCAGGGCTATGGTCTTCCAGGCATTCCTGGTGGAGGATGGGACGGGAGCTGGAAGAGACAAAAGTGAATGGAGCAGCCCTCTGCTCACCCACACCCCAGGGCTTCCCACTTCCAGTCCCCAACCCCGGGAGCAGGCGGCCACCTGGGGCCCTAGACCAGGGGTGAGCTCTGGGCAGGGTCGCAGCACCTGCAGGAGGCACAGCAACCATACTGAGGGCAGGAAGGGCCACCGTGCCGGGAGCTCTGTATGGCAAACCACATTGTCACCTGCATGTTAGGTCAGCTGTGCCATCCCTTTTGCTGCTGCTGTTTCTGAACATGTCACATTTTTAATCTCTGATGCTTCCCTCCACCGTAACCGCATGCCTTTCATGTCTTCCCTGGATAAACTCCCGCTCAGCCACAAAGTCAGGTGGTGACACCTCCTCCAAGGAGTCCTCCCTTGATGCAGGAGCGTTCCCTTGACCTTCTTGGTGCCAGGAGAGTTCCCTCACCAAGACTCTGTCCATTTGCTTCTGTGATATCCCTGCCTCCTGCAGTGTCACTCTTGACTCACAGTCTGCCTTACTGGCTCCTCCAGCACGGAATGGGATTTCAAAGGTTTAAGGCCCCGTTCCAGACCCTAGACTAGCCCTGGGCCCTCCAAGGAATGGGCATGGAGCCAACGCTTGGGCAGTGAAGCACTGACCTGTTAATCCCTCGAGTGCCCATTTGACCAACAGGCTGGGCAGGTTGAGCCTGAGGGAGGGATCCAGGGGTTGCAGCCTGGACCACACGTAAATGCAGGACCAACTCTGCAACTCCATGGGGATTCAGGAGGACCACACGGAACCTCAGATGTGTGGTAGCTGTAAGCATCCACTTAGGCTCCATAACCAAGACGTCCATGGTCAAGACAAGAACCCAGGCCCCCCGTGGAGCTCTAGGCCACCACACATCTTGCATTGCCTCTCAGCATCCCATCTCCCTCCCTCTCCACCTGTCTCCTATCAGTCCGTGGTTTTCAGCTTCACACCCAGTTAGTTCCCTTGTGTGAGAGGCAAAGGGTCAAGGTCAGGGACAGGGATGTCCAAGACTGGACGATGAGCCAGCTATGCTGACGCATGGGGGAGATTTCAGATCACTCTCTAGGTGACCCTGGGCCACATGCCTCCTTCTCTGCTCCCCTCCACATACCTTATTTCCAGAATCCTCTCCAGCTCTCTCACCCAGGGGCTTCAGCAAGCCAGAGACAACCCGCCCTCCCCAATCCAAGGGGAACCAAGAAGGGAAAGCACGCACACCTTGAGACACCATGAGCTGGATGGTTCTGAGAGGGAATACTCCAGAAGACTCATAGACACCACACCAGTAGAGACCAGAGTCCATCACTGTGAGCCTCTTCATGGTGACGATGAAGTGGGCAGAGTGGTGGTCATCCTGTAGGGAGCACCGGGGGTCTTGTGCCCAGCTCTGGGAACTGTCCACCAGCAAGGTGCAGAGGTTGGTCCCTGTTTGCCTACACCAGGTTTTCAGCTTCGTGTGCTGCTCAGCCGAGTAGTAGCATGTCACAGAGATGGCCTCGCCCTCCAGTTTCTGCAGGATCTCTGGGATCTGTCCCCAGGAACCTAGGGGTGAACCCTCAGTGAAGAGAGCCCCTCTCCTCAGGCCCCCGCCCCCTCAGGGCATCTTCCATAGCGCCTACCCAGCCCTCCTCACCTGAGGCCTGGAGCATCAGCAGGCCAGGTAGCAGCAGGTGTATAGCCTCCCAAGCCATGGAGCCTTTTCCTGAGCTCGGGGATAAAGAGGAAAGCAAAGCAGCCGACAGGCCCTGGGGAGAGAGTGGGGGTGAACTGCTGAGCTAGGCAAAGGTTTCTTTGGGGGAGAAGCAGGCAGCCAGCGGCAGGAGGGCTGGCATCCAGCTGGGCTAACTGGGGCTCTGGGGACTCTAGAACCACTCCTGGGCTCCTCTGGACCAGCCCCTGCTGTCTCCAGCAAGCCACTTCCCTCCCACTGAGGTCGGGATGGGGAAAGCTGAGAAGTTCCAAGAAAGAACTAGGGTGAAACATTTCTACTCTCTCTCCCAGCTGCTCTACCACTTCCTTCACAGTCCGTGCTGTGCCCCAGAAAGTGAAGGCTGAAAGAAAAGCCAGTCTGACCAGAACCCCGAGTGCCACTGGTCACCAGCCACCAGAACTCAGAAGTTTGCAGGGGACTGAAGGGGAACAGGAGGAAGGAACTGGAGATGTCCTTCCAGGGGCAAGAGCGCAGTGAGGGTTCCCAGCAAGGCTAGGGGAATGCCAGGACGGGTTGGGGGTTTTCAAAAAACACCCCGGAAGGGGTGGGGCTCCGCAGCCACCTTTAGCTCTCTGCTAATGCCCCAGGGGCAGCAATGACAGAACTCAAGTACTTGGGCTCCTAAAACTGACCTAGCAGGCCTGGATGGAGTTTCTGGCTCCTAGCTTCCACTCCGCCCTTGGCCTGGTCCCCAGGATCCTTGGTGGCCTTTGGGGATATGAATGGATATCTCTCTAATAAGTAAGTATATTTTTAAAGGCATATTTATTTTTATTGGAAAGGCATTTACAGAGAGAAGGAGAGACAGAGAGAAAGAAAGATCTTTCATCCCCAAGTGGCCACAACACCCAGAACTGGGCTAATCCAAAGCCCCCAGCCTCTACCGGGTTTCCCACGCGGTTGCTTTCCCAAGCCACAACCAAAGAGCTGAATGGAAAATGGAGCAGCTGGGACATGAACCAGCAGCACCCATATGGGATCCTGGGCATGCAAGGCGAGGACTTTAGCCACCAGGCTACCACACTGGGCCCATAAAGGTGTTCTTAAATCTCATGGAAAAGGAAACAAAAAGTTTATTTTGCTGCAAAAGCTTGAAAACCCACACACAGAGTTTGCATAACATGCCTGCTCCATGAATTTCCTGAAGACCCTACAACGGGGGGTGGGGGGGCTATTCCTGGCCTCAGAGCACCCCCAGCTCCCAACCACAATCCCACCAATCAAACACATCTGAAATAATCATCTTGGGTGAGCTCCAGATACTCACGGTTGGCACACAACAAAGAAGATCCCATGAGAAGTATGCCAGGGTAGATTCCCGGGACAGACTCTCAGATGGGTACAGGGGTTTCAAGTGCTCTGGAACCACCCCCTAGGGGAGGGGAAGAGCAGGAAGCAGGAGTGGACCGGAGAAGCCGGACTGCCTGGAGAGGACTCCAGCCTCTTGTGACAAGGTCTGAGGACAGGCCGAAGGAGCCTGCCTGCCTGGCTGGCCCCAGGGCTCCCATCCCTGAAGCCCTTGAGCACCTGTGGCTTCTGACCCTGGGCTGGATCCGAGGTGTAGGCAGCCCTGCTGTGTCTTTCCCCTCCTCCCCCGCCACTTGGAGCTGGGAGCAGGTGGAGGGAGGGGGTGGCTCCTTGGCACTCCCTTAGTGCTGAGCTCTGTGCAGGCAACTGTGGCACCTCCTCTTGTCCTTCCATGGATGTGAGAAAGCAAGAACAAGAGCCAGATTGGGACAATAGCTTGCCAAGGGTGCACCAAGATGAGCCTACCCTGGCGAGAAGGCCTCATCAAAGAGGCTGCTCCAAAACAGTTGAGAATGAAAGACACAGAGAAGAGATGGAAGACCCCCTCCCCAACCCCTGAAGCTCTCAAGCACAGAACGCAGAAAACAGCGGAACCAGAAAATCACCACGAAGCGATAATAATCAGGCATTAGCCGAGTAGCACGGGTCATTGTATTTTATCCTGAGAACAATCTCGAGAGGTAGGAATTATTATCACCCCCTTTCACAAGGGAGGAACAACAAGGCCCAGAAAGGGTTAGTGACTTGCTCAGGGTCACACAGTGACAGGGTGGCATCCCCGATCCCACCCCGGTTCCTTCCCCACCGGATATCTTGTCACTGAGCTCTCATGGAGGTTTTCTCCTCAGGAGAGTTAAGGTGGTGAAAAGAGCTCCTGGGGCTAGTTGTTGGCCATCCAGGGACAAATGTCACTGTGTGTGTGTGTCTGTGTGTGTGTGTGTGTGTGTGTGTGTGTGTCCTGTATGGAACTGTCAGTTCCTAGTTCGAGTCTTGCCTCCACTGCCCCCTCGTGGACACAGGGAAGCAGTACCTCTTCCAGGCTGTCCCCATGCACGACCCCAGCCCCTATTCCTCTCCCCGTATTCATCCTGGATTGACCACACCAGCCGTCCACTGAGACCCTAGTTGAGTCTCTCTGCTGAATATGACCCTTGCCAACCCACAACCAAAGTGCACATGTCATCTTTGTCCCCAACCATGACTCCAGCAGGCTGAAGGACACCCTTGCCTGGGGGCCGGAATCCAGTTGGTGGTTTCGTCTTCACTGCTGACAGCTGGGCCAGTGGTCAGAGCAGCAGAGGTTAGGTCTGAGCTCACACTTGGGCCATGGAGCCCCAGCCAGGAGCTCCTTAAACACCTCCCCTCCCAGCTCTCACCTAGGCCAGTCTTCTAGGCGGCAGGCAGTTCCAGTTGCCTTCATTGTGTCACAAGTGGGGTCCTCTCTCTTTCCAGGGGTCAATGAGCCCCTTGGGGAGTGGGACAGTGATCCAACTCTTTTTCTCTGCACCATGGCCTCCCCACCAGCATCTGTGGGGTGATCCCCCTCATTCCAGGGCCAGGGTCTCAGAAAGCCTGGAGCGTGGACTCAGCTAGAGTTCCCTCCAGGAACTCGGACGTGTGACCTCAGGTGCGTGGCCTGGGAGAGAGATCCCCCAATCTGAGGAGGGGCACACCACAGGGGAGGGACACACATAGCAGGAGGCAGCTGTGGAAAGGTGTGCCCTGAAGGCTCCCTGGGCATGGGGGATCAGCAGCCTTAGTCAGGGCAGAAGACATCAGGACACCCAGACTGACAGGTGCCTACCTGCTATGAACCCAGCTCCGAGTCACTGTCCCTCTCCTCTTCCACAACAGGGTCTGGGGACACTCCTGCCTCTGGGGCTCCTGAGTCCCTCTTTCTTCCTCTGCAGGCATGCCATGTGGGGAAGCTGAGGGCTCCACGGTTCCAGGTGGGCAGAGGGCGGCTCCGGCTGTGCCCCACTCTCACCTTGGATGGAGCATCAGGAGAGCCATTCTCCATCAGTCAGCAGCATCTTGGGGGCTCCACTGCCCTCAGCCCAGGGCACGGCAGCTAGAGCAGCACACGGCACCCCTGGGATACGTCCTGCAGGACCCCCTGAAGGTTGCCTGTTGCTGAGCCCTCCTGGCAACCCTGGAGAAGGCTTGGCGGGGCCAGGGATGGGGACCGGACAAGGTGTCCAAGAGCACCTGCAGAGTTCTTCCAACCTCAGCCATTGTGCACATTTCCCCTCATCCCCAGCCTCCTGGGACCCCTCCAGGAGGAGCTCCCACTGCAGTTATGTATTCTCAAGCCAAGCTAGCTTCTGCAGGAGTTCTGGTCTTCTGGACGGGGCCCTCCAGGGCCTGGCAGGGTTGCGACAAATGCTATAGCCTGCAGAGAAAAATGGGAACTGAGGACGGGTACCCTGCCCCACTCTAAGCACCGCAAAGTCCCTCTCCTGGCTCCACCTCTGGTCCCTCCAGCTCCTCCCTTTCCTGGCCTCTCCCTCTCACTCCCTTGACCAGCTGGGACCGCTGCCCTGAAATGCTGAGGGGTGGGTTCTACTCACTTCCCATGTGTCTCTTCTTCCAAAACCCGTAGACCACAATCAACATCATGGGCGCTGGGAGGAAGGTCAGGGCTACCACGAGCACTGTGACATGAAGATCCTGTTGCCTGAGGAAGTGGGGCAGAGGGAAGGAGATGAGAACCAACCCATGACCACAGCCGCGGTGTGCCCCACACGAGGGGTCAGTCCTGGGAGCGTGGCCTCCTTCCTTGGGGACATGATTGTGGTAGAGACAATCACTAACTCAGAGCTGAAGGTAAGATGCCCCAGGCAGAGGAAAGTCACTTCTGCCATGAATGCCCAAAACGTGTCCACAGCGAGGGCGGGGCCTCTGGGTGACCCTCGCTCTGCCCATGGCTGAGGAAGCCCCTCCCAGCGTGCCTGTGCAGCTCCAGGCCCCCACTACTCAGGTGCCCCTGTTGGCTTGATGCTTTCCTCTCATCCCGCAGCCCTCTGGGCCACACACACACACACACACACACACACACACGGCGGGCTCCTTCCACAGAAGACAAACACGAGGTGGCATCTAACTACCTCCCCTGCGGGGGAGCGTCTGACACTAGACAAGGCCCCGCCCATGCGCAGTGTCCGTGGGCGTGACCAAGTGCTTCTGGGAACCTTCCTTTCTTTCCCCTCATCTCTCCTCCCTCCCTATCACCATATCTCAGGGCCTGCCACCCCCGAGCTCCTATTCTCCAAGCCGCATCCTTGGCTGGCCCTATCCTCTCATTGCCCACCCCTGACCCTCTTCCCCAGGACCATCCTTACATCACTTCCTCTCTCATCCTTTACATCTCTCTCATCCTTCACGTCACTTCCGGTCTCCTTCTGCTGCCTGGGCAACAAATCACGCCAAGCTCCTGATTCCTAACCCCTCCAGGTTTGCTCAGGCACTGAGAGCTGGCACATATCCGCCCGCACATCCTTCAGCAGGTACCTGAGGGAGGGCAGTCTGTTTTGACACTTTACTGTGGTGGGCAAACTGGTGCTGAGGCGCCTGGGCTTGGTGGGCAGCAGGGCCTGGCTGGCAGGAGAGTACCGCTCCCTAGTACTGCTGGGAGCTGTGGTCATCACTGTCCGTGACCCCATGGCCCTCCAAGGCCCCACGGTGGTGATGCTGCCATCGGTGGAGCCGTGGCCTGTCTCCGAGCTGGGCCTTGTGGTCTGGGCCACAGAGGAGGGTGGGAGTCCGGTCACGGTGAGCCGTCCCGAGGTGAGCACTGTCACACTGGAGGTGAGGGAGGCCCTGGGGTCTGATGTGGGGGCTTGAGTCATCGGGGCAACACCGCTGCTCTGGAGGACGTGGTCCAGGCGCGTCAGAGGGATGCTCCTCTCTGTGGTGGAGGCTGAGGGGTCAAAGAGGGAAGCATGTTAGACTGAAGGAGGTCTCAGGACCAGGAACAGATCTTGTACTGTCCCTGCCTCCTCACCTCCATCCCCCAGACAGCTGTTAAGATGGGAAACTGGGGGTAGGGACTGTCCTCTCGGGCCGGGGTCCTTTTTTTTTTAAGATTTATTTATTTTTATTGCAAAGTCAGATATACAGAGAGGAAGAGAGACAGACAGGAAGATAGTGACCGCAACAGCCAGTGCTGTGCTGATCCTGAGCCAGGAGCCAGGAATTTCCTCCAGGCCTCCCATGCAAGTGCAGGGTCCCAAGGCTTTGGGTCATCCTTGACTGCTTTCCCAGGCCACAGGCAGGGAGCTGGATGGGAAGTGAAGCTGCCAGGATTAGAATTGGCGCCCATCTGGGGTCCTGGCACTTTGAACACAAGGGCTTTAACTGCTAGACCACCGTGCCGGGCCCCTGGGGTCATATTCTTGGACTTTGGGCAGGCAGGTGTGGATATGTCTCAGAGAGGTTGGCTAGGAAGGAAGAGGCAGGTGTAGTGAGGAAAGGAGAGGCTGCTTCTTCAGTAGACACTGCCCTGCCCAACCGCCATCTCTCCTGGCACTTCCCAGACCCTCCTCATTTCTGACAGCCGAAAGATTTTCTCTAAGGGGAACAGAAGGACAATTCCACCTCCACATAGTCAGCTATTAGAGTCCAGAGATGAGGCAGGGAGGCAGCAAAGACCCAAAATTCCAGACAAAGCAGTAAAGATAGGGACAGGCATCTTCCTCAGGCACATCTCAGCCAGCATCTCGGTCCTCTGCTGGCTTTTTTCTAGAAGCCTATGGATGATGAGAGAAGAGAAGGGGTGGGCAGCTTGGTCTGCCGAGAGGACTGTACCAAGCCTGAGCTCTCTGAATAAGGTGGGTGGCAGAGGAAGAGACTGGCCTGGTGCTGGCTCTGCCACAGCCTCCCGCTCAGCAGCGGATAAGACACATAACCGGCTGCCTCAGAGCCAGCTCCTGGACACCCACCTCAGGGCGGTCTTAGAGGGCTGGCCTCAATCCACAGATCACTTCCATCACAACCATTCCCTTCACCTCCTTCCCACCCCAACTCACTAAGGTGCGTAGGAGAGAGACGGCCAGCAGGGGGCAATGAAGAGGCTCTCCAAGCCGAGCAGCAGGCAGCCTCTTCCACAGGTTCCTGGGGCCATGACACCTGGGCAACCTTGTGTTCCAGAAGAGTTTAGAATTGAGGTGAGGAACTTTTGGGGGGGAGGAGCATTCTAGTAACTGGAAAACACTGCAGTTAAACTTGTCTCAGATGGTCCTGCTGAGGTGCCAGGGGAGAACTGGCACAGCATGGTAGGGAAAACAAGAGAAGACAGAGCCATTTCACATTGGCATCCTTACAAAGATGGCTACGATGCGACTTCTGAACTGGAGAGGGGAGGCAGGAGACTGGGCCCCCCGTTTAGGAAAGAGCATTCTCCCCAGTCCAGACCTTGGGAGAACCGAGGTCAGGGCAGCAAGGACTGGGTAATAAGTCTCACAGGAATTGGTTGCATGGCTGCAGGCTCCTTCGCCAGCTCCTCACTCTTTTCATGACTTATAAATGCTGGGGTTGGGGCGAAGGGAGCAGCATGACGGTTCAGTAGGCTAATCCTCCAATTGGTGCCATCATCCCAGATGGGCACCAGTTCATATCTTAGCTGCTTCACTTCCCATCTAGCTCCCTGCTTATGGCCCGGAAAAGCAGTAGATGATGGCCCAAATACTCAAACTCCGGCTTCCACCTGGGAAACCTGGAAGAAACTCCTGGTTCCTGGCCTCAGAACGGCCCAGCTCTGGCTATTGTGACCATTTGGGGAGGGAACTGGTGGATAGATCTTTCTCTGCTGAGCCCATGGAATTTTTTTTTATATTGTGAAACAGATTTTACAATATAAAAAAAAATGCCATGGGCTCATGTCCTGGTTCTTGGTTCTTCTCTCTGCTCTTCCTCAAGGGAGACGTTTTATATCCTCTTGATTCTTTAAAACACTTAGTCAAGGGAGAATTCACATCCCATGAAACGTACCCATTCATAGTATAAAGTTCAGTCAGCTGTCGTATCTTGACGAAGTCCTATGTGCAATCAGTGTTCTACAATCAACACGAGAACATTTTCATCACCTCAGAAGGAAACCCTTAGCCCCCTGTCACTGCCCTGTGTCTGCCTCTTTTCCCCCTTGTCATCTGGGTCACCCACATAGATGGCAGGAGCCCAAACACGTGGGCCATTTTGTACTGCTTTCCCCAGGCCGTTAGCATGAGCTGGGTTGAAAAGGAGCAATCAGGATTCAAACAAGCACCCATATGGATTGCCAGGATCATAGGCAGTCACCCACTAGGACAAAATGAAGGCCCCATATGTGACTTTTTTTAAAAGATCTTTCTTTATTGGAAAGTCAGATATACAGAGAGGAGGAGAGACAGAGAGGAAGATCTTTCATCTGATAATTCACTCCCCAAGTGGCCTCAATGGCTGGAACTGAGCCAATCCAAAGCCAGGAGCCTCTACCAGGCCTCTCATGTGGGAAGAGTCCCAAGGCTTTGGGCCGTCCTCAACTGCTTTCCCAGTTCACAAGCAGGGAGCTGGATGGGAAGCAGGGCTGCCGGGATTAGAACCAGCGCCCATATGGGATCCTGACATGTGCAACATGAGGACTTTAGCTGTCAGGCTATCACACGGGGCCATACATGTGATTTAAGGTCTTCTGGTTTTCATCTGCAAAATGGTGACAGTAGGGCCCAGCACAATGGCACAATTGGCTAATCATCATCCCTTAAGCACTGGCATCCCATATAGGTGCCAGTTCATGTCCCAGTTGTTCTACTTCCCATCCAGCTCCCTGCTTGTGGCCTGCAAAAGCAGCAGAGGATGATCCAAAGCCTTGGGACCCTGCACCCATGTGGGAAATCAAGCAGAGATTCCTGGCTTCT